CTCCGACGGCTCGATGCCGTCACCCGCGTGCCCGTGACGTCAGCCCTGCTCGGAGCGCGCGCGCGGGCCGGCCCGCACAGGGGCGGCTTCCCGAAAAGGGCTGAAAGTTGGATGCTGACATCTAGCTGCCAGCACCTCCCTCCGGCCGCTGAGTTGTGTGCGCCTGGAAGCGGAGGGAAGAAACCAGACTGTTTTCCCCCCAACCTCCTCCTCCTCCTCCTGTCCGCATGCAGGCTCTAATGGCCCCGTCCCTTGCCTTTCAGTTTTGTTTGGTTTAAAATCTCTTGCCCTGAAATGCTACGCTTGGTTTTGCCTGTGCGCTCGCACCAGTTGCACAGCAATAATTTTCTGTCTGGGAAAGGAATCCGGTCTGGGCTCAGAAAGATCTGGCTTCAATAGCAGGTTTCCTCTGTAACCTTGAGCAGCCGCATCCCTGTACTCCATCCCTCTGCACCAACTAGGGTGCTAAGGAGACCCCTAAATGGTTGTTACCTGGTCACAATAATAATTCTCCGGTCTAGATACTTGCTAACTGACAGCCTCTTGGAAAATTGTGAGATGACACTGATCTAGAGTTGGTTTCTCTTCAAGGCAAATGGGCCACTAATTGCAACCTTAACTCTTACATTGCATATTTGTCTAACAAACTGACTGCAGTTGCAAAGCTTGACCAGTGATTCTTGGTTTGTTTATTTGGTTTTTTTCCTGTAAAGCCAAGGAAAATATTCAGGAAATGAAGAAAGAACTTGATTCACTGATGGAAGCAGCTGAAAAAGCTTTTAAAGTGGAGCTACTGAAGATTCCAGTTGCTATCAGAAAAATGAAGAGGAAAGACTTGCTTAGTACGGATTTTTTTCTCTCTAGCTGATAAGCTTTTGATTAATATAAATAGCATTGTATCTACTTTAATGTCTCGAGTGTAGTCTTAAACTTCCCTGTGGGTTTACTTCTCTTTGCCTGTGATTTTTTTTTTTTTTTTGATAAACCAGTTTATTAATCTCAAATGAAGTGTGATGCAATCAGGATAACACCAGAAGTTACTGTTTTAATTAACTAGACTGATTTATGTAGTAATGCAGGCTGTAAAAGTTCACCAAGTAATTTTGTCAAGACCAAAGCCTCTAGGGGAGTTAGGGGGTGAACATATTAGCAGGGAACCATCTTTTTTTTAATTTTCTTTTCCAAGATTCCAAATAATCAACCTGTCTAACAACAACCTATGGTCAAGTTGTTCCAATATCTTAATTAGCTTAACTTTTTAAATCCTTGTGTTCTTAATCTAGAAATTGAAGCTACATAGTCATTGGATCCTTTTTCTCTCTCTCTGGTAATTTAAGAGTCCTTTTACTATACTGTCTTCTCATGTGGGTATTTAATAGGTCGGAAACAAAAAAGCAACTTTGTGTCTAACATGTATTTTATGAAGTAATAGCAGCAAGTCAAGCTGCGATAGACAACTGATATTTGCTAGTATTGCATGGATATTCCAGGAGCTTTTTTACAACAAACCTACATATGGCACAAGATGAAGATGAAGGTCTAGAATTCTTTAAAGTATTCCCAGTTTCCTTAAGCCCCTCAGTTAGTGCATTTGGATGCTTACACTGTCAAATCCCAGTCTGTGACCAGTGCCTTAAATGTAAACTTCTCTTCTCCCCGCTAATTTCAAGCTACGTCTTGTGGGACTAACTTGGTTTCTCTAGAGCTCCAATATGCTATTCAGGACAGCTGGTGTTTAAGCTGTTGGTCTTGATTATTCAAGGAATTGTGAAACTTAAAACTCCTGTGAAACTTGCAAATCCTGTTAACAATATCATCTTGTTAAAATCCATCCCCTAACTGTTCCTCAGACTAACTCATTCTCTTCCACATGTATAGAATTATATGCACCATAGTTAGGCAAGTAGTAGAATATAACAAGCAAGCTGTACCTTTCTGTAACAGATCTGCAAGGGAAGGAGGAGCCTGCTGCTGCTGTGGTTGCTGTTGTAGGGGTAAGTGCCTGTAAGTTCTAACCCAGTCATTCACGTTCTTTTTTTTTAGACTCAAGCCACTGCATTTCAAAGAGCCTGAGACTGCCTGTATCTGCTCATCTCCTTTTTACTTTCTGTGGTGCTTTTGTGGCACACCAAGTCAACAGAGCTTCCATACATCTGTGATCAGTACCTTAGATATACACCCTTTTTTTTTTTTTTTTTTTTCAATTTCAAGCTGTGTTGTGGGACTAACTTATTTTCTCTAGAGATGCTGGTTGAGAATCATTGTTCTAGCACAACTTGAAGGGGATGAGCACAGAGCAGAAATCTTAAATCATTATAGGTAGATGGAGGAATTTTTAAAAATCACGCTACTTACTGTATTGGAGACATAGGCAGGGCAGGGAGATGCTTCTTGAAACAGACACAAAAACCATATGACAAGAGACCTTGCATATCATACCTGAAGGTTTTAAGATAACCTGTGAAAGTAGTCTCTTTACTTGACAAACTTTCAGGTCACTGTCTCTAGCATAACAAAATTTATTGGGGTGGGGGAGATGAGGAAGAAGAGTGATCTACTGATTGTTCAGATCTTCCTTTTATTTTCTAAACATCCTATAGAATGATTGCCTTGTAGAAGACTTGTCAAGGTCCAAAGTAGTGAGGACTGGCAGCAGAAAGGGTAAGCTAATGACCTCATAGCTTGGTTTTGCAATTCTTGTCCTTGTCTTTAATGGTGTAAATCTTGTGACTGCAAAGGGATTTTTATGCTCATTACAATTCCTTAAAAGGTATAAAATGATTACAGTAGTGTCTGGAAGCCCCAACAGATTGGGGGTGGGGGCTAGGAATTGTATTATCCAGTTATACAAAAGTATAAAAATGCTAAGCCTGAATAAAGGGTGATGAGGATAACATGTGTTCCAGTCTAGCTCTGCTGCTGGCCCAAATTGTCTTGGGAGTCCCAGGTTAGCCCTATATCTGCTGAACTGTTCTAAGAAAAGCATTCATCTTAACCAGAATTGACAAGAGTACTTTCTTGAATAAGAGAGTGGCCTACTCTTGCTGCCATGAGGAATAACAAAGAAAAGGGTCATAGTTTATCCCCATTAGCTATGCTAGTGAACAAAAGTCAGTCCATGTAGGCATTAAATTGAGTGAGTGTTGCATGACCAAATAATGGAATTGAGCACTGGCTGCTAGGTGGCAGGAAATGTACCCTGCTCCCCTCACACCACCACAAAAAGGGGCTAGTTTTTCATGCTTATTACACATCCTTCTAAAACTATTCATTTTTACCTTTAGTAAAGGTAACTACAATTGTTGAGTATGAAGATGAGAAGAAAGTGTCAACAAAGATGCCCCAAAAGGTAAATACGGGGAAAAACAACAAGACCAGGACTTGGTCCTTCCTGATTATGATTTTAGCTGTAGTTCTAGTATGGTATGCTTAAGACTAATGACCTGTGCTTGTCCTTTTAAAATTGAGTGCAACCACCCAGGCTTAACTGTAACCTCCTTGGAAACAACATGATTGTATATATTTCAGTTCATTAATTGTGCAATCCTACGGGCTCTACATTCCAGTTTTACTACGTTCTTCTGAATTGGAAGAAAGTTGGTAATAGGACTTTACCAAAAATAAATAAATTTTATTCTTACTTTAATAGACTTGAAATTAAACCAATATTTATTTTCTGCTGAAACATGATTGTTTGGTGCTTATACTTGCTTTTAGTTGGCGTCTCTCCATGGTGTATGGTTTATTGAAAAATTAATTGTGTAGACCTGGAGAGGCAAGCATTTATTGTGACATCAGTTTATGCATATTGGGTCTTTACAGCTCAGTGTCTTTGCATTTGAAAAGTCTGTACTGAGTCTTAAGATACAAGTCCACTTTCTGCCTTGCTCCTCAATTATAAAGCCTCTATATTCAGTGGTGCAAGCATGGCTATAAAGGTGTTGTGAATAGATATGCCAAGAAGACTTAAAAACAATGCGATGGAGACATTCTTTAGGGATGTCTGTGCTTTACTCTCTACCACATGTAAAGTGGATTCAACAGGGGTATTGGGATGCTCTGCTTTAAAAGTGTGAAATCTTGTATCTGTTACCTGAATGTCTCAGTTCTGTTGTCATTCATATTTCATTTTTATTCTGATGTTTTTTTAAGGCATCTAAAACAAAATCATTGGTGACAGTTTCTGGCCTAAGCAGAAAACAAAACAACTCTCTTCCAAGGTAAGGCCATGAACTTTTATAGCTTATGCAACTTACTTGAAAGAGTCAATTCACTGGTTCAAAAACATTTAGGTTCTCTAGTGTTGGGTTTAATGAAGATAAATTCCACAAGCTCAATCAAATTCTTAATTGATGTACTATAGTGAAGTAAAGCTCAAATAAAGGAATTGCATCTAAAATGAGATGGCAGTTGATTTAAAAAAATATATATGTAGTCCTATCTATTTAATATTTTCAGTTTTGCATCCAAGGTATAGAGTTTGCAAGTCTAATATTACTACCTAATGGAGGAGAGGAGAGAAGCCTATAGATCAGGGGTGGGCAAAATGCGGCCCAGGGGCCAGATGCAGCCCAACAAATCATTCTATCTGGCCTGTGGAGCCCCTCTTATTTAAAAAAAAAAAAATAAATAAAAAAAAATTAATATTTATCTGCTCCTGGCTGCCTATCATGCAGCCCTCAATGGCTTGCCAAAACTCAGTAAGCAGCCCTCTGCCCAAAATAAATGCCCACCCCTGCTCTAGATAACTGAAGTGTTTTTGTTAACAGGAATAACAAACTGTAGAATAGTTCTGGTGCCAACATGAACAGCAGAAATGGAGCTGGGACTAGCATAAACATATTTTTATAGGAGCACACTTGAGCTATTTTAAAGACCAGATGATCCAAATTCAGCTCATGACTTTTGATTCACTCTGTCAGCCTAATTACAGGGGTGGGCAAAATACAGTCCTCTGGCCAGATTTGGCCTGCCAGCTGATTAGATCCAGCCCATGTGGGGCACCTGCCAATTGACTGGATCTGACCTACGGCTGCCCCCATAACGCTCCACATTGGGGGCTGAGCCAAGCGCTGCACTCCTGCCTTTGCCTGCTGTCCCTGGGCCCCAGCCGGTGTGCATGGCTTCCAGCAGGGCTGTTCCTGGTGTGGCTGCAGCCCCACAGGTGCTGCTCAGCTTCCCTCCCATCCAACAGTGGCTTCTCCTGCTGCAGTGCTCCAGGCCAGCTCTAGAAGGAGCTGCAGCCAGGAAGCTCCTGCCCCAGTGCACTAGGCTCCGGCTCTGGCTCCCAGCTGCCTTCCCAGCATGATGAGCAGCCACCTGCAGATGGGTGGACCAGGTGGAAGGTGGTTGGGAGCTGGAGTCCAGCACACTGGGGCAGGAGCTATCTGACTGAAGTGCCACCCCTGTCTTACACCTGGAGCAGTGCAACAGGAGGAGCAGCCACCAAGGTGAGGGAAGCTGCCACACTAGGAGCAACCCAGCCAGTAAGCTGTGCAGGGTGGAGTCAGTGGGTGCACCCCAGGCAGGAGCAGAGTTGGGAGTATAGCATGGACTGCCCCCGGGCAGGAGCCAGTGGGGCTTGGCCCATGTGGAGCGTTGTAGACTACACCACCCAGGTGAGCTCTGCTGCACATGCTGTCCCCTGTTTTATCCCTCTGCCTTTGGGGGGAGGGGGTGCAGAGAGTAGATTGCCTGTCCTGTTCCTGAACACCACTCTGCCTGCCCATGGCTAAATCCCGTGGAGGGAGTTTTTTGGTGAGTTGTTGAGCATCTTGGGTGGTGCAGAACCAGCCCACAACAACTTGGAGTCCTAGTGGACTCCAAGATGAACATGAGTCGGCAGTGTGACGAAGCCATCAGAAAAGCCAATGGCACTTTATCGTGCATCAGCAGATGCATGACGAATAGATCCAAAGAGGTGATACTTCCCCTCTATTGGGCGCTGGTCAGACCGCAGTTGGAGTACTGCGTGCAATTCTGGGCACCGCACTTCAAGAGGGATGCGGATAACCTGGAGAGGGTCCAGAGAAGGGCCACTCGTATGGTTCAGGGCTTGCAGGCCAAGCCCTACGAGGAGAGACTAGAGAACCTGGACCTCTTCAGCCTCCGCAAGAGAAGGTTGAGAGGTGACCTTATGGCTGCCTATAAATTCATCATGGGGGCACAGAAGGGAACTGGTGAGGTTTTATTCACCAAGGCGCCCCCGGGGGTTACAAGAAATAATGGCCACAAGCTAGCAGAGAGCAGACTTAGACTGGACATTAGGAAGAACTTCTTCACAGTGAGAGTGGCCAAGGTCTGGAATGGGCTCCCAAGGGAGGTGGTGCTCTCCCCTACCCTGGGGGGTCTTCAAGAGGAGGTTGGATATGCATCTAGCAACCCAGAACTCTTTCCTTCCTATGCAGGGGGTCGGACTCGATGATCTATTGAGGTCCCTTCCGACCCTAACATCTATGAATAAGCTCATCAAAATTTCCTAAGTGGCCCCCGGGCCCAAGTAATCGCCCACTCCTCATCTAATGGTATTTGTTCCACCCCATCCAATGCATGCTGTTCATACTCCTTTCAAATGAACATAAAACATTGCATCTTCTCCTAGCATGCACAGGAGAAGCCTTAGAAAATCAAACTAGATTGAGTTATTTGGTCATCTTTAGCCTGGGTTAGAATTTTTGAACTCTAATAAAATGCACCTGCAGAATGTTTGGGTGTCTCGGTTCAGGGAAAACCTACCTTGTAAATCTGATGGAAGAATTTTTTGCTAAGTACAGTATCTTTGTGCTTAGATCAGGCCCTGAAACTACATATGTATGCAGGGGGGGGGTTTGGGTTTTTCTTGGTTTTTTTGAGGACTTCATTTTAGGCTTGATTTAAAATTAAGAATATTATAGATAACTATCAGAAAGTGTCTAAGGCGCTAGTCCTTTCTTACTGAATGTAAAATGTCTGCATCATAACTAGACCTAAAAAAAAGCCATTTTCATTCTAAAATTCTTTCTTGCTTTGTCAGGTCTATGTGCTCTACTTCAAATATGAGGCATGCTGTTAAGGCTCTTACTTCTGGTGCCACACCTAGAAACTACAGAACCAATGCACGGGTTGCTAGAAGGTAAGCCATTAAGATCATGGCACAACTGATCTGTAATATCATATGTAGTTGGGTCTCTTTATGAAACTGACTGTAATAAGACCTGGATCCTTATCTCTTTCTTTGAGTGTACCTGAAAACTGTAGTTAAACACAGTAGCTTACAGTGCATTTCAAGAAAGCGTATTTTAGCCCAGTTTCAGCCTATTAAGTGTGGAAGATACTCTTGTCCAAGAGTATAGGTTCAGAAACATTTTACTTCCGTTGGCGTCCTCTCCCAGGAGCAAATGCCAAGTTAGTACTTTTGAACTGTGTAGTTGGAAAGGATATCGTGTCAAGAAATCTGCATTTATTTTATTTTTCTAGTAAGACCGCTAAATAGGTCTCAAAGCCATAAACTGGTTTATAGCCTCACTCTGGCCTTTTGTAAACGCTTGCTTGACACGGCCATTTAGGCCTCCTTCGTCTCAAAAAATGGCTCCTAAAAGTTCATCTTCCTTTCTCAAAAATTGAAGTCTACCACAAAATAAGTCTTCAAAAAGAGTATAGGAACTTGCTTGGACCATACTAATGTCTAGCTAGTCTAGTATTCTGCTTCTGACAGTTGCCAGCTTTAGAGAAAGATGGAAAAATCTTGCAGTAGGTAGGGTTGGGACAGGCTGCTGTCAGTGAGTCATCTGAAGATCTACAGTGTGAGGGTCTTTCCCCTCATTTCCATAACTGAGCATACAGTATTTTATGGGTGTGCATATGGGTAACAAGAATATCCAAACTTGAGTTCTGTGCCAATTGTCAGCCTCAAGATTTGTAGATTGCTTGTAATCTGCAGAGACTACTAAAGCACTCTTGGAGACGGGTGTTTTAAAATGGTTGACTTTTCTATTGGAGATGGCCAAAAGAAAAAATTAGACAACGAAATATTCTGCATTAGGTTTGAATGTTTCTTGGATGGCAGTTTGTTTAACCTCTGCGGGGTGGGGGTAAATGTTCTTTTGTATTCTAGTTCTGGCCTACCACAGACGGCTCACTTGAGGACTGCACCGTCCAGTGGAAAAGTCCACGGCATGTTGTTAAGAAGCAACTCAGTGCCTCGGAAAAAAGCTGTTCCATTTGTTAACATACCTCTGTCAGATGGACAGGTATTAAATAGTAACATTTTTTCATATTTGTTTGGCTACCTAAAATAGAAAGAGTATCGGGAAGATGAATGTTGGAGTTAGTCTGATTAGTAGTAGCCCATATCACAAATCAGCAGCTTATAAACAAAATAGCATTTTAAAATGTCCACTTTCTGAAGTAGAATAGTTCAAAGGGGTGTTCTACCATGTACTAGTGTCACTTAAGTGAATAAATTGTATTCTAACAGACTGTTTTTCCAACTATCTAATCACTCTTTGTTATACTCAGACACTCTCAACCGCTGGTGAAGACCTCCGTAACATTAATGTGGAGTTACTTAATGATGATACAGTTCAGCATATTCATAATCTAGTGGTAAGGTAATTTGGGCATATAATTCTCTAATGATTATCCAAATGAACGACACTTGAGCATTTAAACTTTTATTTTTTTTTGTTTTAATGTTTTTTTTTTATGGGGGGGGGAATCTGGGTTTAGCTCCAGTTGAAACCACATTTGAAAAAACAAACAAAAATAGCTTATTTCAGTGGGAATGAGATGCCTAAATACATGTCTGTTGGGGTTTTGTTTTTGTTTTTTTGTTTTTTTTAAAGATCTGGACACTTAATCTTTAAATTGCCTGCACAAACCTGAAGCACTTTCTAGTAAAGGAAAAGTTTCTACAAGCTTATAAAGGGTTTGTTGTGCTTTTTTTCTCTAAATCTGCTTGTACTTGCTACTTATCTCTGGATAAAGGACACAGGCTTTTCTTTCTATATTATCCCACATTCAGAATGTGCATATAGAAACATGACTGTGTGTGTGTTATATCACTTTGACATAGTAAGTTACACTGATCAACTGTGCATGGCTTGAATGTTATTTACTGAATACAAACTAAGGGTCCTACCAATCTGTACTAAGTTTTGGATAATGACTCCTGAACCCTCATTTAAATGTGCGCTTAGCTCTTCAGTGGAGATTAACTGTATTTTTTGCTTTAGAATATTGGAATGCAGCTTTATACTGTTTGGGTGTCTTCTAAGGCCCATGGCACAACAGTGCAATGGGGTCTGTCCCTTGATACCCAACCTCCTGCTATGACAGGTGTGCATGGCAGGATGCACAAGTCTCTCATTTTTAGAGACCAGATCCCAGCTGTACCATTGCAACTTTTCAGTACAGGCAGAAAGGTGAGTGCCTGGTGAAACATTGTAGTTTCAAGGCTGGAACTGACAGTCAGGTGATGGCTATATTGCAGGGATCCTGCCACATATTCAATTTTAAGACCTGATGGAAACTAGCTATGCACTTCGGTGAATAATGTTGTGCCTTATTTTCTATTGTATTGCATTATTAAGCACATGACTGTGTGGCTAGATTACTATTTTTATTGGTTAATTGCATCTCGAGTGTAGTGTCTGCCATGCACATGTGCCTAAGACTAGCAGGGACTTTCAGACCAGTTTAATGTGTAGTATTAGAACTGGGCATTGGTAGGCACTGAATATTATATGGGAATAAAAACTTATTTTCAGAGTTAATAAGTAAGTTGGTGTAAAATACTTTTTTTTTTTTTTTTTTTTTTTTTTTCTTCTTTCCCTCGCCCTTCAGAGCCAGTTGACTGTATTATGTGGGAAGGCAACAGTTAAGCCAAGTTAAGAGACTTCTGTGAAGATTCCATTGTCTTTTGATTTGAAGGAATATTTATAGTGACTAGCCTTTTGTCTAGTCTAATGTTTAGAGAATGTATTTAACACTTTAAATAAAGCTTTATATCAAATAAATGCTTTGGCCACATTTAATCCTAAAACTGCAGGATCCTTAAATGTTTCAAGCACAAACTATTACTTTTTCCAACTCCTCTCAGAAAGGTTGGACTTTCTACCATTTACTGTCATCTAAAACAGGGTGATCCCACTGTGGCAGCAGGCAATCTACAAGTACTCAACTGGTGGCCTGTAGGCTCCCACCCCTTGTATCCTGGGCTCCCTGCACTTTCCCCATGGGTCTGGGTGTGCCATTTGCCATCACCACACCCCCCTACCTTCTCCCTCCTGCTTTGTTCCCTGGACAGCACTTTCTTCCTCCATCTTCTGCTTCCTGGGGGAGAGGAGAACAAGGCAGCAGTGTGGCCTGTGCCTGCTTGAAATTTGGACAGCCCTTATCTAAACTGTTCCTTTACCAGTTTCTTCTCTCTATACAGTTCACTGAGCAAATTTGATTATAGATGTTTACAAATTATGTAGGAAGATAATGGCATAAAGCCAGAACCTGGATGTTTTCTAACAGATGTTCGAAATACTGGCTGATACAGTAACTGCCAGCTCCACAGTTATGGGAAATTGTTCTATCAGTACTAAGCATCAATTCAAGATGATGTTAAAGTGGGCCTAACTTGCTCTTCTACACAGTATTTTAGGCAAGCTTAATTTTGTTACACCCCCCCACCCACTGCCCAGCCTGAAAAATACAAACCAATAAGAGGAGAAGCTATGCAACTCCTTTCCAACTATTCTTCTAGCCTTTAGTCATGAGGCTAGTCCCAATAATAATCCTTCTGAAAAATATTTGACAGCTGATTTCATCTTAAATCAGGTCAGCATTTTACTGGACTTCCTCAAATTCATATAGGTGTGTGCTTTAAATTCTTAAGATGTCTAGACTTTTTGAATTCCAGATCTGTATAAAGGTACTAGTAGCTCCTATATTCACCAGACCCCTAGAGTGAGTGAACTTGGCACTGGGTTTATAACCAACAAGCTTTTGTCAAACATTTGAAAGTCCTTTTTACAGTCTAATGTAGAGTAATACCTAGAACTACTGATGTTGTAAAAACATCCCTACAGCAGAAGTAGCTTTTCATGTCAGAACAACTACGTGAACCTGAAGCCACTGAATAACCTGTAGCAAACAATTATGTTTTTTAACACGGTTACACTTTTGCATTTTTACTAAGTGCTTCTGGTGGCTTCATTACAATTCCCCTAAAGCAGTGGTTCCCAACCCTGGGTTGTAACCCAAATGAGGGTCACAGGGGCACTGCCAGCAGTGCTGCACAGAAAAGACAAGCTATGCCAGGAGGTCCCCTGGGCTGCTGCTGCTGCCAGCGCACGTTGCTCCCAGCAGCAGGGCGTTGTGGGGGGGAATTTGGGAACCACTGCCTTAAAGCTTACACTTCTGTTCTCTAGGTCCTCTGGAGTAATGTACTTGAAAGACTCATGGTTTGTTTGTTTGTTTGTTTTAAACTAGAAATAGACATAAGTAAAATAAGTGGGGTAAGGCAACAGGGCAAGCCTCAGCTGCTGTGTCGCTGCAGTAGAAAACTTCTTGCAAGTAGGTTTCTTTCTGTGTATGCTGCTTGTGGAAATGAATACTTTTTGAGTGGAAAAGGGTAGAGAGAGGAAAAAATTGTCTCTAGTTTTTTGTGCAGTATAGAACTTTTTAACCTAACATCATAGCAACAAAATTTAAAACAAGTAAATTCCCCATGCTTTTAAGTACTGTAACTGCAGTTGGTGTTTCTGGCACTTCATTTTTTCAGCAACTCCTTCATTAGAATCTCACTAATAGAGGAAGAAACATTGTCTCATTTGAAGCATTCAACTATGCATGGGCTAATTTTCCCCTTGTGATTTCCTTAAACTCTACATTTGGAATGATAAAGAGGAAACAAGGTAAATGTGTGTGTGTGCGCCTGTGTCAAATGCTAACTTTCTATCATTACTAATAAAGGTAGAAAACTGAATCATGCCTTCCTGTTTTAAGTTGAATTTGAGTTGACATGGCTTTGGGTATGTGTAAGGAGTAGTCATTTTATTTTGTACCTTGCTGTTTCTCAGAGTAGAAGTCTACAAGACCCCAAATCTAGGCCAAGACTTCTTTTATGCATCAACCACAGTCTAACCTCTAAAGTTAGTGCCCTAATCTCACATGTAAAATGTCATTGCTGGTGCAATATAGGTCTAAGCCCTAACAACTATCAGTCTGATACTGCAGTATCAATACACATAGCCTGGGAGTAGACAGTTGTAGTTCAAGTAGATCAGTACCACTCAACTTCTTTCCCCTGCAGTGTGGTGGTTCAGTCCAGTCTTGTAAATGGAGATAATTGTCTGACTTTCCTTCACTAAATAATCCAACCACACACTTTCACTTGGAAAAAGTAGGTACAGACTACTTTGGCTTGATATCTTTTTTTTTTAATCAAACTTTATAGCCAAGCTTTGAAATTGTAATGCCAATTGTTGTCTGAGTTGTGTTGATTGTACAAGGCAGATAAAAATATAGTTAACATATGTTGACACTATCTATAAATATATATTTATATCAACCTAGTGAATTCTAGGTAGAAGGTGCTGCTCTGCCACATTTCTTTTGTCTTGAGTAGAGTACGAGGGGACAGATTTAATAATTTGAACTTTAAAACAAGTTATTTAAAAGAAAAATATTTAGATGGTACCAAAACCTGGAGCTGCCTTATGTATTTGGCTCAATTGCTTTGTACTTCTGCATTTAGGCTACGATTCTTTTAACTGAAGCCTGAGTAGGATCTAGAAAATAGTCCTAAATCCTTGGTGTAAGCACACTCAAAATATATCTACAATAGCATTTCCCAACCTTTTCCAGCCCAAGGCACATATTACATTAATAAAATTTTTCTATGGCACACCTGTTAAGGCCTTCCCCATCCTCATACCTGTTGTAGCTCATTGTCATGGCAAAATTCCACAGCACACCTGCTCACTTCTGACAGCACACTTCTGTGCTATGGCACAGTGGCTGGGAAACACTGACCTACAGCATACATCAAAAGGATTAGGCTTCTACCTCATATACAGTTGTGACTACCTCTGATTTCTGTTAAAAAGAAAATACAGGGGGTGTGTTTTTTTTTTTTTTTTTTTCTTTTATTATGAAGGACTGACCTAGCCCCTAAGAACTGGAAGACTTGGATTCGATTCACTCTGCAACTTGAAGGGCAGGAGTAGTGTTCAAATCTGTATCTTGTTCCAGGAGTAGACTTTCCCAACAGCTCAGATGATTTCCCATATGCTTGCTTGAAATTATAGTTGTAGCAAAGAAAGCAAGTTAGATCTGTTCTGCAGAAACCAATAATTCTTAACCTCTTTAGGCTCAATGCACCCCTGAGGACAGAGGTAGGCAAAATGCAGCCCACCAGGCTATTCTATCTGGCTCATGGGGCCCCTAAATATTAATTTTCTAAATTTTTTATCTGCCCCTAACTGCCTATCATACAGCCCTCAATGGCTTGCAAAAACTCAGTAAACGGCCCTCCACCCAAAATAATTGCCCACCTCTGCCTTAAGACATGCCAGCCCCTAGTTTTCACTTGTTTTTTTTTTTACTATGGCAAAGTAGCAGAATAGCTGTTCTGCTGCAATAATTTTTAACACTACAGATTCCTGTTTGAAACTGTGGGCTCACTTTGTGAATGACTTTTTCATACTTAACAGTGTTGATATTGAATGGCATATTACAGCACCCTTGCAAGGCCCGGAAGAAGGCTGGTTGACAATCATTGGTTCAAGTACTGCTTCAAAGGTTGGTAGCGTTATAAGTTAGGTTTGTTACCTTCATTATTGTAGTTCTGATATATTACCAGATATGTACATTTAATAAAACAGAGTTGGGGTTTCTCTTTTAGTTAGTACTCAAGATCTGCTTTATTCTTCCCCTTTGATTGTTTTTTAAACTGCTCTCAAACTCAATTAAATATTTTACCATAGTTATACACCACAATATTCCTTGCTTTATTTAAACTAGTTTCTTCTATTCACCAACAGTCTTAATTTTGAGATTACGAATTTATATGACTAGTAGTTAGGAGAGGCTGGAGGGAAGGTAAGTTACCTACAGACAACACCTCCCCATAGTGTTAGGAGTATCTCCACACAAGTGGAGGCTATCTTTTCCAGACAAATAGTAACATTTGCCATCGCAGATTACAAGCCCTTCTTTCTAGTTAGCCCACATAAGATTGCTAAAATGAAAGCACCAAGATCATCTACAGCACTAGAAGGGGGAAGATAGGAACTACAAGTTAGTGATTCCACAATAAATATAAGCAAAGTATAAGGATTCTGTGCAGTTAACAGCCAAAACTGAATTGTAGAAATCCTTAGTTTTAACTTTGACAAGCTTAAAAGGAAGTACATATCCAAAATAGTCCACAGCCTTGTTTTTTCCTTTCACCTATTGGAAGACATTCTACAAGAGCATGAATTAGGAAGCAAGTGTTTGAGAGAATTAAATTCAGAGCTGTTTATAAATCATGCTTTTCTCATCTTAAGAGAATCACTTAAGAATTAAAAAGTGACATGAACAACAAGAAAGTTGTCTTAACTTATTCTGATGTCTGAAGCTGTCCTTTTCTGAATTGCTTAGTTATGCTATCCACATAAGCTATGAATTTGTCATTTTTTCAGCAGCCTCTTCAAAGGTTGGAACAGACTCTCAAGTAGGACTTTAACACTGGGGAAATAAATGCAACTTCATTTTGCTTCTTAATTCTATAAATGGAAGTTGGAATGAGAAATTCTCTATGAGGGTAAAAAATTTACTTAAATCAAGCTATTGGTACTTGACATTGTTGGGAAGGGGAAAAAGATATCAGTAAGTCCTTTCACTTTAGTGAATAAATGAAAGTGGATATAATAACTAGAAGGTACAGTAAAAAATGTGAAACAAAACATTTTTAGGCAGTTATTGGAAAAAAGCTTAAAATAAGGAATAATTCTACTTCAACTACACTTTCTGGACTCAGTACTGTTAGCAAAAGAATCTACACTTATGGGAAAAAGTGAAGGAATATTTTTCTGCAGCTGATCAGGCTAAATGACCATACAGAGTCTCTCCAGGCAGCCACTCATCTTTGATTCTGGAAGAATAATCAAAGCCTTACTGCTGATCTGAGGACAATGGTGAAAAGAGCTCTTATGAGTTTCAATGCAGCAGCAGGAATGGAATAG